TATATATATATATATAATGAAAATTAATTTTTCAAGGTAATGAATTTCATACTTTTGATGTCAATATTAATCATTTTTTCGATTTTAACAAGACAATATTCACGATTTCCTATAGGTTGATGTGCATGCCGCCATGTTGTATGATGCAATGTACTTGTACGCAGTGGCCCTTCACGAAGTACTTGAGGCTGGAGAAGACGAATATAGTGGGAAGATGATAGTTAGCAAGCTGCTAAATAGAACATTTTACGGTAATCATAATAATCACAAAATACGCCCAGGTGTTACAGAAATGCACAATACACCTTGTAGTATCACCAAATACAAATCAGGGGAAGATTTAGGGGGGTGGGGGCGGCAGGCCCCATTTTTTTGGAAAGTACAAAAAGATAAAAAAAAGAAGAAAAAAAGAAAAAGAAATTATTGATCGCCTAGAAAAAAAACAATCCCCAGGACCCCTTAGGATAGTGTTGTCTCGATCCTCGACCCTTTTTCTGACATCTCTAGATCCGCCTCTGAGAACATTGAAATAATGGCAAAATCGAAAGGGTCATTACAATAAATAATGATTCTTATATTGATAATGATAATGATGGTGAATATTATGATAATGATAAATTATAAACAAATAAAAATAATAATATTATTATTATTATTACTATTATTAATATGTAAAATTAATTAAAATAAATAATAATTTTAAATTGGCAGGAATTGTTGTTCTTAAATTGAATGTATGCTGTCATTGAAAATAATCAGTTGTATAATAATATATTTGGTTTTTTTTTTTTTTATTATTCTATTATTATTATTATTATTATTATTATTTGTATTAATTTTTAGAAGGTTAAGTGTAATGTGTTGTTCTTTGGAGTTTATATTTTTCCCTCTTCTATTTAAGATGTTGATGATATATATATATGTAACATTTTATATCCTATTTAGGCGCCGTATGTCACCGTTGGATTTTGGTGAAATAAAATAAAATAAAATAAAAAATAATACGTTTATTTTTACATTCGTAGGTTTTATAATTCTAAAATATATTTATATATTTTAAATCAAAATAATCAGTTAAATTTTTACACATTTTGATACTTCAGAAGAAAGATATTATATTTTTTAAATATTTAAACAATTTTTTGTTGTTGTCATTTTCTAATTATTTTGGAAGTCTTATAAAATGCATATTTTAAGGAACAATACATAATTATTATATTTGTTTCAATAATGATTTACGAAATGTTGTGCTAAAGGCAAATGCCATTTATACCTTATTATAAATAATGACATGGAAAAATTAGCTTGAGTTACTGCTTGTAGTAATCAAGCAACCAGGTAACTCTGCGATGTAATTACCTGACCTTTGGCCTATGAAAAAAAGTTAATTCTATTATAACACCAGATCATTGCATATTTAGAAAAAATGCTAATTTTAGGTAAATTACTAAGTTAACTGGGAATTATTTACTTTAATATTAGGTCAACGCTTAATTTCATTATACGAAATGTTTGGAAGGTTTTAACTTTCTTTGCATGAGAAATGTATAAAGGGTCCAACCCAGTTAAAAAATATATCATGAGATCACGTAAGCGTTTCTAGTGACACTATAAAACACGTGATTGCTTCATAAATAGATACATTAATGCGAATGCTCATACGTGACACCAGTAAAAATAAACATTTAAGTTCGTGTGTTAACCTCAAAACAAACGAATCTGAAAAAGGGGTAATATTTTTTCTACGAATAACTTCATTAGGTTTTGATATAATGATAGAATGGTATTTTCATGAAATGAAACCAATACAAGTACATATCCATTTATTGATTTTATTTCATGAATTTACCAACAACTTGTAAAGGAGCAATATTTATAGCAATAGCTGTTGGGCGCATTCTGACAACCAGCCATTCTTCTACATATTGAGGCCAACAGAAAAACTTAAGGAAGTGACGAATGGTTGTGGATGCTACATATTCAACGTGCATTATGGCCTGGATAAATATGGTTGTCACTTTAATCAATTTTATTTTTATCTATTACAAAATTTTAGAAGAAAAATACAATATAAAATATAAAATGCCCTCCATGGATAACCAAAAATAAAACACAATCGAGGGTGCTCCAAGGCATCGTAAAATAAAGTTTGCAGTCTGCTCTCAGTAGATAAAATCTAAAAACGTCCAAAGAAGCATTACCACGCCACAAAATATGCCGCTGAATAGCTACATTCAAATTATTACCTTAATTTTATTTCATAGGGATTTCTGGAAGATTTTTTATAGATGAACATGGAGATCGCATCTTAGACTTTGCCCTACAGGACATCGAAGGAATGGACGCGCATGATATCGCTGAGTATTATTCAGAAACAAAGCGTTTTATTTTCAAAGAAGGAGTTGTTGTTACTTGGCCAGATGGGTCTACTACGCCGCCTAAGGATCATCCGGACTGCGGCTGGGATAACGAATTCTGCCAATCCGCTACCAGTTAGTAGTGAAATTTATATATGCTTATACAGGTTACGTTCACAGGTTCATAAAAAAATAACAAAAAGAGAAAACTTAATTTATACAAACCTAATCAATTTATTAAAATATTATGCTTGTAGAATTTATAGATATATAGCCTACAAATAATGAAATAATTCTACTTGAAAGGTAAATTCATACAATTTAAACTTCTCTTTGGAAAATCTCTTTGGTTTGACAATGCTATATCTAAGTACAGAAATTAGTACCATGCCTCAAAATAATGGCCAAAATATGCGATTCATATTTATATTTTGAAAATAATAGAAAATATAATGTTCAAGATTCAAAATTCATGTATTGCCAAATACCATACTAGATGAATGAGATTCTAATTTCTTGGTGATTAAATACACTGCAAAATACATATATCTAAAGCCAACTTAGTAACAAACACAAAATTAACTAACAATGACTATGTTTTTACGGTATAATAAACTAGTTTCCAAACATTATGAAATATTAAGAAAAATACGATATACAATAAAGCAAATCATGTGTTCAGTATGCACAGTCTGTATGCTATCGATCTTTTTTTTATACAAGTGAATAAAGTTCAGAATAATAGACTGTGAGGAAGGATTTGAATTACGCTTAACCGAATCGACCAGAGGCAATTAAAATTGTATCAAATTTTTAATAACATCAGTCTCATATGCCAGTTTGCTTAAGGTAGGTCCTTATCGATTAGTTATTAATCCAAGGTATGGTATATTAAAACATTGTTTGAAGTATATTGCATGTTGGCATATCACATAATAAATTTCCTCAAATTGCCGCCCATACATTAGGCATTTATGTATTTAAACAATTGGCATTTCTTAAAGTGTTGAAAGGGGTCTTGTGAAACTCTACCCTTTTTATTTTTTTATTGTCAGTCCTGAGTCGAGGTATTGTTAACCTGACTGGTACTAAATGATGTGTACCCGAATTGTCGAAAGAGCTTAACACGGAATGTTTGGTAACCTGAGATTTACCATTTTTCAATTACACTAACCACAAATAGAAATTCTGGTCCGTGTACTGAAAAATCTCATTTTGTGTCCCGAGTTTTTGCTTGCAGTGTAAAAGAAGGATACTAGCCAGGTAGAAATAAATACGTCGACCCACACTTTCACTATCGAGCATCCATGAACTGGAACGAACTACCTAGTAACATAACTACGGATTTCCAGAATTTAAATTAAAATACCTTTAAAAATGCTCTAAAACAATTAATCTCTATTTTGTAATTAAGTCCTTTTTGTCAAAATTTCCTTATATTTTCCTTTTTATTTTATCACTTTTGTATTTTTATGTTATAACTGGACCACAACGAAAACAAGTGCATTTGCATTGAGCGTGCTATCCAGTATAAAGAAAGTTGAATAAAGAAAGTTGAAAAAATAAATAAAGATAATTAATGGGTCGTGTGGAACAACAACTCATTAAACACAGTGAGGATAAGCAATTATTGATTTTTAAAAAAGCTTAATGGTAGCAATTAGAAAAAAATATCTATGATAAAAATTAATACATACATAATGCTATAAATATGTATTTCAAATTTAAGTTAATCTTTATCTTTGACCAACAGGCGTAGTGACAATTATTGGAGTCTCAGTTACTGTAGTTGTAATTCTGATAACGATTGCATTTACACTTGTGGGGTATGTTTGGAGGTATGGATTTTCATTTATTTTTTTTAGAAAAAATAATAATAGGTAGTTTTCGCCGCATGACGTTAACCTTAACGTATGACGTCATAATTTATTCATCATGCGTTGCGGGAGTACGTTAATTTCATGATTTTACGTGCTCGACGTACGTTAGTTACGGGTTTGCGCATGCGTTTTTCGATTTGTTTACAAAAATGGGGCGCGTAGCTATTGCGTCGCATGTAGGGTACCTTAAAGTTGAGGTTAACGTCGTGCGGCGAAAACTACCTATTCTTGACACCACCGCTCACCCCCAATTGTGATTCAACTAAGGCTCTTGGATAGTACTATAAACTGTCTTGAAGTAATGCTGTTTTATTTAAATTCCAAACGTTAAAGATGAGGAATGTGCGAGTGTGAAAAAGACCTTCCAACGCAATTATTATTGAAAGGACATAGGTTGTTAATAATTAGTGTTACTATTATTATTGACGTAGTGCAGGGACGTATCCAGGTGGGGGGGGGGGAGCCATGGGAGCCGCGGCTCCCCCCCCCACCACCTTTGTACACAGTGTTAAAATTTTAAAGCTTATTCTTGAGCCAATACAAATTCTTTCCTGGGATCACTCAATGAATACTTCTATAACATGGAAATATGCATCAGTACACGTTATACATAGGCCTAACAGAACACATAGGCCTAAGCGTGATTTAAAAAAAATCTTAAATCCATAAAACTCAGACCAGGTCTTTTAAGATAGAAATTCAATTTCGTTTTTATCCTTTTGCAAGTTTCTTTAAATTTTTGTTTAATAATACTACTACTAATAGTAATAATAATAATAATAACAATGATGATGATGATGACGACGATAGTAATAATTGATAATAATATTAATAGCAATAAAAAGTGAAGAAAATTATTCTTAATGCGAAAAAAAGTTGTGATTTGTTGATCATAATATAGTTAAAGCTTAGTAAGCTGTCCTGGATACCGGTATTAAGTAGATTCCCGATAAAAGATAATGAGAAAATTGTTGGCGTTTCATTTTGACTATAATGGTGATGTGATGATGATGAATCTTTTACTATATAAAAGTGTCATTTCCGGCCATCTCGAGAGGTACTATTTCCTCAAATTTGTGAGCCAGTTCCCCACA